TTATTGTTATTATTATTATTATTGTTATTGTTGTTGTTAGTGTTGCTGTTTTTGTTGTCGTTATTGCTGTTTAATAATCTTTCAAAACTCTATTTTCATTTTCTGAAAGTCTTTGGAACTTGGTTTTTAAAAAATCACTATCGAAGCCTATGTTTTCTCACCGCACTAGAATTATTTTTTTTTGGACTCATTTGAGTTTTTGATTTTAAAAAAATATGTGAAGATTTTTTCAAGTACGTATACTTTATTTAATTCATTTTACCCAAATTTGCTAGAGTCTTTTACTGTAGGCCTGTTTAAGTTTATTCAATAATAGCACCAAAAAATGTATATATTTTGTATCATGCAAATTCCCCCCAACAGCAAGCTCTATGCGTATTAGAATCTATATCATTATCCACGCAGTCGTGATAATCTAATACATTAACAACTACCTTTGAAGCATACAGTGCAAGCTGCTTGTTTTACAGACTCTAAAACACCAACAAAATAATAAGATTGTTTTCTGTCTGTGGCAGAGTTCCCAATCCCACTTAGATGATTTGAGGAACATTTGGGTAAAGTGTTTTCTTTTTCTTAGACATGAGCGTCGAACCCCTAACTGGCTTCATCACACTTACAAGTCCAGTAGCCTAATCACCAGAGTGCCGACACCATTCATTCATTCATTCATTCATTCATTCATTCATTCATTCATTCATTCATTCATTCTTTCATTCATTCATTCATTCTTTCATTCATTCATTCATTCATTCATTCATTCATTCACTTTTAGAAAACGTTTATCTAATTTTCATATTGCATTAATTAACATTAATTATTTTTTCCTTAAAACACACGTCCATTCGTTTATTCGTCCATTTATCCATTCGTTAATTCGTCAATATCTTATCCATTCGTTCATTCGTCCATTTATTCATTTATCCATTTATTTTCCCTTCCCCCAGACAAGAGTCAGGTGGAGGAACAGCTCCGCATCAACGGCAAGGGGAAAAAGATGCGCAAGCCCCGCACCATCTACTCCAGTCTCCAGCTGCAGCAGCTCAACAGGAGGTTCCAGAGGACGCAGTACCTGGCACTGCCAGAGCGCGCCGAACTGGCGGCATCGCTGGGGCTCACACAGACACAGGTCAGTTTTGGGCGGGAAGTGTGTTTGTTTAAAAGTGTTTGTTTGTGTGGGTATTATGTGTATTTGTGTTTCTCTCTTTCTTTTTCTCTCTCTCTCCTTCTATTCTCTCTCTCTCTCTTTCTGTCTGTCTCTCTCTTTCTCCCCCCACTCTCTCTCTCTCTCT